TTGTTCAGTGCTTTGAAATCCTTGGCAAAACAATTTATTTTCATCAAACCAAGAAATCCCGAGCGGGCGGCGCTCCATCACCGAGTCTCCTTTACTCTTTGAATGTGCTTATTTCACTCTTTGAATGTGCTTATTTCACTCTTTGAATGTGCTGATTTTACCCTTTGAATGCACTGATTTCACTCTTTGAATGCGCTGATTTTACCCTTTGAATGCACTGATTTCACTCTTTGAATGTGCTGATTTTACCCTTTGAATGTGCTGATTTCACCCTTTGAATGCGCTGAATTTACCCTTTGAATGCGCTGAATTTACCCTTTGAATGCGCTGAATTTACCCTTTGAATGTGCTGATTTTACCCTTTGAATGTGCTGATTTTACCCTTTGAATGTGCTGATTTTACCCTTTGAATGCGCTGAATTTACCCTTTGAATGTGCTGATTTTACCCTTTGAATGCTCTGATTTTACCCTTTGAATGCGCTGATTTTACCCTTTGAATGCGCTGATTTTACCCTTTGAATGCTCTGATTTTACCCTTTGAATGCGCTGATTTTACCCTTTGAATGCTCTGATTTCACCCTTTGAATGCTCTGATTTCACCCTTTGAATGCTCTGATTTCACCCTTTGAATGTGCTGATTTTACCCTTTGAATGCTCTGATTTCACCCTTTGAATGTGCTGATTTTACCCTTTGAATGCGCTGATTTCACCCTTTGAATGTGCTGATTTTACCCTTTGAATATGCTGATTTTACCCTTTGAATGCGCTGATTTCACTCTTTGAATGTGCTGATTTCACCCTTTGAATGTGCTGATTTTACCCTTTGAATGTTCTGATTTCACCCTTTGAATGCGCTGATTTCACCCTTTGAATGCGCTGATTTCACCCTTTGAATGTGCTGATTTTACACTTTGAATGTGCTGATTTTACCCTTTGAATGCGCTGATTTCACTCTTTGAATGTGCTGATTTTACCCTTTGAATGCGCTGATTTTACCCTTTGAATGCGCTGATTTTACACTTTGAATGCTCTGATTTCACCCTTTGAATGTGCTGATTTTACCCTTTGAATGTTCTGATTTCACCCTTTGAATGCGCTGAATTTACCCTTTGAATGTGCTGATTTTACACTTTGAATGTGCTGATTTTACCCTTTGAATGTGCTGATTTCACTCTTTGAATGCTCTGATTTCACCCTTTGAATGTGCTGATTTTACACTTTGAATGTTCTGATTTTACCCTTTGAATGCACTGAATTTACCCTTTGAATGCGCTGATTTTACACTTTGAATGTTCTGATTTCACCCTTTGAATGCGCTGAATTTACCCTTTGAATGCGCTGATTTTACCCTTTGAATGCTCTGATTTTACCCTTTGAATGCACTGATTTCACTCTTTGAATGCGCTGATTTTACCCTTTGAATGCGCTGATTTTACCCTTTGAATGTGCTGATTTTACACTTTGAATGTTCTGATTTTACCCTTTGAATGTGCTGAATTTACCCTTTGAATATGCTGATTTTACCCTTTGAATGCGCTGATTTTACACTTTGAATGTTCTGATTTCACCCTTTGAATGCGCTGAATTTACCCTTTGAATGCGCTGATTTCGCCTTGATATTTATGATTATAATTTGCTCCAGTGAAATATAGTTATATCGAATTAAGGGAGATACGATTTGACATGTTTACTATTTAGTTGGTATTTACAAAATACACACACCAGCACTGTGAACTACCACCCCACATATTCGGTTTCACCAAAGCAGGTTTTTTTGGACAATGCCTCATTTACAATTTAATAAATAAAATTATGGGCTGTCCCAAAAGGCTGGAAAGCTCTGGGCTGATACATCTGAATGCCACGGTTCCCATAAATTCATCAGGAAAATCATCCACACCTGGACCTGGATTATTCAATTGCAGCCCGGAAAAAAGAACTTTATGAGTATGTGAATAGAAAGAAAAGGCAGATGGCTGAAATCCT